CGCCGCGGCGGCCGGCAGCGGCCCCCGCACTTACGCGCCCCGCCGGGCCGGCGGAGCCGGGGGAAGGTGAATTCCGCGGGCGGGGTGATCCCAAGGGCGCAGGAATTCCCGGCGGAGAAAGAGGAGGAGGTGTTCGGGGCCGGCTGCAGCCGGGAGCCCGCGCCGGGGGGCAGCTCCGCAGCAGCGCTGCTCTGGCGGAAAGGCGCCGGGGCTCGCCGGCGTGCGCGGGTTTTTGTTTTCTCCTTCTCCGGCCCGGGAAGCTGCGGGGCAGCGGGGACTACCCCTGTCTGGAGGCTAAAGAAGCGTTGGGAGAAAAAAAGCTCATGACATTTGTGCGTGTGTGCGACTGCCCTGAGCCTGCCTCCCCTCTCCGTGTGTATGAAGAGACATAGAGCAAACCCGATGTATATCCGTCATGGGTGCCCACAAAGCTCCCCAACAATTCCAGTTCGGCAGGAAAAAAAAATTATACTAGCTCCTCTGTTTGATTTTTCTAACATATCTGTGGCTATAAATACACCACACCTAATCTAACATCTGCTATGATTTCATTACCATCCAAAGCATGGGGATGTGACAGTAACGTATTACCTTACAATACTAACCGTAAGTGCATTGTAACATTTATCTAAATTACATTGCTTTTCCTGACTTTGCAAACCAGTTATAGAAAGATTGGAGTCCAGTGATGGAAACATAAGTTCAATGTAAATTATTGTGTACGGCTTCGGATTTATAATCCTATATTTCTTCGAAATGATGCACTTAAATCTCGCCTCAAGTAAGAGGTAATGGTTCTTTATATCCTTTTCCGTCAGCCATATATTTCGGCGTCTGGGTAGTTTTGCAGAGCCCCCCGCGCTCGCGTGTCTGTGTGTACATACAGCAACCCCTACACGCACAGCGTGTTCTGCATACTTGTGTACATACACACAAAGCCGAACATAATTCTGGCCGCTGTTTAGACATTTTGGATGACGGAGAGGTCTTTCGCTTCCTACACAAAAGTGCGAGGGAAAAGCTGGGCACCGGTCGAGCAAAGAGCACGAAAAGGATTCAGAAGAAAATGCTTTTTTGGAGGGCAGTTCGGACCCCCCTGGAAAAAGCCCCACAGCCCTCGGGTGTCTTTTTAAAATCTAGGGGGAAAGAGAAAAAAAAAAAAGCGAAATTTAACGTGAAAATGGAGGACGGCTGAAAGAAAGGAGCACCTTCGCCACCGCCACCAGAATTAAGACATCGTAGAGGGGACTGAAAAAGTATTAAGGAAATGTTAATCCTTTGGCTGGTGGGACTCCAGCTTTGCGCGAATTTGTCTCCAGTAAAGGATCTAAGACTTCTTCAATCGGAGCATATGTTCATAGAGCAATAAAACAGAAAGATTTACAGTCTCCGCCCGCCCCCCAGCAGCCTCGCACCCTTTCAGGAATTACTTATGATGATTTATAACAACAACTCCGGCAATTGTCAAACTGATAAAATAGCCCGGGCTATATGCGGGAATAAACGCTCTTATGAAAGGGCTGCGATTTATGTTCGGGTCCTTTTTACTGCGTGTCTTGGTGGAGTTTGGTTTCTTTCCCGGACCAACAGGATAATATAAAACTTCATTGATAAAAATGTAGGAGTTCTCGTGAAGTAGCAAATCTGTTCCTTAGTCACTACCAAAGCACATAAACATTTGTCATCTTTGAATAATTGAATTAATGTGTTATTGTTTGAATGTATAATTCATAACATAGGAAACTTTGTCTCTGTCCTGCCACCGAAACGGAAGTAATAAAAAGCTACAATCTAGGGTTTTTTAGAAATTACTCCAGCAAGGGATAATAAAGAATATCCTGTTTGCAGAAAGTATTTCCAGCTGACCCTGGGATTTCACAGCGAAATCTCAGCCTCGTCGCCCATATTCGACGGAGTTTGCGGAGAGTGGCTTTGTGTGAAGACACAAACCCCATTCTCCCCCTCGTCCGGGCTACCGCTCGGGGACTTGAAAGGCGGCGTGCCCGCTTCGGGGGCCGGCTGCGCCGGGCTCCTCCGCAGCTCGGGGGGAGCCGGCGGGCCGGGCAGGAGCCGGCCGGGCAGGAGC